GGGGACGGCACCACTCCTGTGCCACGCACCCGGGGACGGCACCACGCATGTGCCGCGCACCCAAGGGCCGGCACCACCCATACGTCGTGTGCCCGGTGCTGGCACAGCTCTTGCGCTGTGCACCCGGGGGCAGGGCTGCCCATTCACTGTGCGTCCAGGGGCCGGCACCGCCCATGCACCACGTGCCCGGGGGTGAGGCTGGCCCCGATCACTCAGCGGGCACACAGAAATGGTCCGGCGGGTGCCATGGTGCCCACAGGCACTGCGTTGGGGACCACTGGGCTAGGTCTTTTGTGGTCTTGCTCCCCTTGCATCCATAAAGATTCTTCAACAACAGTCATGTGAAAAGAACCCAATGTTCTTTCTTCCTTTCTAGGAAGAGGCAGAGGCCACTGGACGTGCTTAGCCCTAGGGCTTCTCTGCCTGTGAAAAGAAGAACCAAGAACACTCCTGCCACTGGAGAACATGGGCATCAATCCCACTGCCTCTTGCATGCTAAGCAAGCGCTCTGTCACTTGAGCTAATTTCCCTATGGAGAAGTAGCTATTCTGACCCACCCATCTTGTTCCAGAGCTCACAACGTCCCTCTGGCTGCCCATGGCTTCCTTCCAAAAGGCAATTTGTGAACCTCTTTGCTGTGGGGTAAATAGCTCAGTTTGCCTTAGACCTCAGGGACTTAGCATGAGGCGTCATCCCAGGCAGCTCTCTGAAAGGAGCAGAAGGCGATGGGGAGTGCGTGGAGAATATCTCAGGGGGAGCATCTACACTGCACCCTTAACTCGAAATAAGCTACACGATTTGAGCTATGCGACTTGTGTAGCTTATTTCGATTGTCTTTCAAAACAGCTTATTTCATAATTTGGAGCGGTCTACACAGTGCCAAATTTAAAAATAAAACACTAATCCAAAATGTCCCTTAATCCGTGTGAAACGAGGTTTACAGGGACATCAGAATAGCAAGTCCAAAATAACGGGCTTTCTGTGAAGACACGCGATAGCTATTCCAGGATACTCCAGTATCCCAAAGTAGCACTGCAGCATAGATGTACCCAGGGGTTGCGTAGCTGTGTTGCCCTTGTTAGGGGATGTGGTCAAAACACAGGTCATGCTGTGAGCAAGATTTCAACATGCACAGGGAAACCCTATTGGATTTCTAGTCCCACACCTTGATCACTCGGGCATGAGCTCAGCACTGCCCCAAGGCCAGGGAAAGCGGTCAATAATCCAGTGCCCAGGCCTGAAGTCACCTGGCACACAGAATTCTAACAGCAAACCTGGCTCCCAGAGCACATGGGGAGTTTGGGGTCTGACTGCTGAGCTGTGGGGGTAAGCATCAAACCAGCTCCCTTCTGTGGGGCCTGTAATTGTTGCCGTCCCTGCTGTACAGAGAGGGACATGGAGACAGTGAGAAGTTAGCTGAGCAGGCTAAGATCACCCAGTGAGTTAGAGCCCAGCTCTGGCCCCCATCTCCCTGCTAACCCATCAACGTAATGATTTCTTTGCTGTCATGGGACTGTTTGAATTGGCCTCTCTTCTTTATAACCAGGGCTAAGCCAGGATAGAGTGTCAGGCAGGAGAACATGACCTGGACCCTGCATTTCTCATCACTTCAGAGACACTTGTTAGTAGAAAAATAAATCATATTCAAATGACTATGGGATTTGGTCCTGCCTAGAGCAGGGGGCTGGACTTGACCTTCTGAGGTCTCTTCCAGCTCTAGGACTATAGATTATGAAACTTCTGTTGTGGTTACTCTGGAAACTTCCCCCAGACCTTCCCTCTGAGCCTGGAATTATAATGAATTGGATCACTCTGATTTGTTTCAGTTTGATGTTAATATCTATTGCAAGTAAACAGTCAGAGCCCATCACGTCTGAAAGGCACAGACTTGTGCCTCAATTTCCCTACCCGGTTCCCTTCTCTGTATCTTTCCTGCACTGAAGGAGACTCGGAAGAAAATGATTTTGTTAGCACCAGTAACCAAGTCTGATATGCAGATCAGGAAACATGTCCTCCCTTTTTCACATCGGAAAATAATTAGTTTTTCCCCATTCATCATTAATTATTTTATTGTTGCATTTTCCTCTGAATTTCTTGCCTGTGACAATGCTGAATGGAAAAGCCTTGCTGGGCTGCCACCCACTTGTGTGGCACTTGCCCTGACACTTACAGGCAAGCTAACCTGAATGAAGCAGCAGTCTGTAGCGGGCCTTTGATAGCTCAGCTGTAGCAGGTGCTCTGCAAGGGATCCTTAGGGGTCTGGCTAGAAGGAGAGCCTCTTTTTTTCCTCCTCTGGGCTGAGGCAGGGCAACCAAAGAGAGGAAAGGCTTGCTGGCCCGTAGGTGGAGCAGTAGGACAGACGACATCCTTCCAGGAAGGGTTGGAGTAAGAGTTTTATATTTGCATTTTAGGTTTAATAATGTAATGTAACACATTTAACAGGTTACCAATTAAGCCCTTTAGTTAAATATATATTACTTTGTTTTAAGGTTTAGAAGTGAGACACAGGATTTTGGTATTGTATCCATGTTAATGAGATTAGAAATATTGAAGGCCCGGACCTTTAGTGTGAATTGTTTTGATTATAAGATTTAGTAGGGTAATTTACAATACTTTTTGCTTTGCTCAATATAAAACTCTGCTGTTTGTATCTCTGTGTGAATGAGATAAGGTGTGAAAATCGTTAGAGACAGATGGTCAAGAGAGAAGGGGAAGAATGTGGGGTGAAGACAGACTGTGAAAGAGAGACTTGTCAGCGTCAGAAAAATCAGAAGAGTGCATCATGATTAAGGAAGGGGCAAGACTGACGGCTCTAAAGATGAAGGCATCCCTAAAAATAACTGATTAACAATCCAAGACAGGATGGCCTCTCGGAGATGTCTGACTGATTAACAATCCAGGACAGGATGGCTTCTCGGTCACAGACTGACACAGCAAAATCCATAGAGGAAAGGATTATAAAAGCAGCGAGCTTTGCGATGGGACTTCGGGCTTGTCTTGCCACCAACTCCAGGAGAGCATTGGATTGCAAACGACAAAGTGATCGATCTGGCGGGTCACTAGATTGATCCAGACTCTGGACTGGTAACTATAACATCGTCTGGTGGGACTGTGTGTATGGTGTTTGTGTGTGTGAGTGACTGAAAAGCATATGCTACTGTTGTATTCTCAAATGCGGTGTACTGCCTTTTCCCCTATAAAAGGATCTCATGTGCTTTGTTTAAGCATAACAGAAGCACAGCTGAGCTCTCCAGAGAAGGGCCAAACAGGCTCAGGGAGAAAGGCTTCTGTCAAAGCTTAGGATAGGGTTAGAGCCTTTAGAGCTTCAGTCTATTGCTTTCCCAACTGAGCTACTTCAGCAGCTGCTCCCTAGGCTTTGGGACCACCAGTTCTCAATGGGGGATGTTTTTTCTCAGCAGCAGCGCACAAGAGAGAAGCTATTGCAAGTGGCCCTCCAAGGCAAGAGGAGTTTTCCCTGCTTCCCTCATTTCTTTGCCGCTTCCCTAGGAGGAGGAAGAGGAGGAGGAGGAGGGAGAATGGGCAACAAGACCCAGCTGGCAAACTTCCCCCTTCCCCTCCAGTTTTAAAACAGAAACAGAGCCCTGCAGCCACATTTCTGCACAATGCATGGGGCTGCAGGACAAATTGGGGAGCCTGCCTGGGGTTCCCTGCTGCTTCTAGGGGCCAGATCTGGTGGCTTGGTGGGCCGGATTTGGGCTGAAGGCCATATTTAGCCCAGGCCTGTTATAGGGTTTCTCTCCTGTGTGGATTCTCTTATGTTTAACAAGTTCTGAGCTCTGAATGAAACTTGCTGCAGTCCAAGAAGTGAATGCAACCCTATAACAGGAATGTTGTGAGCAAGACACGAGAAGTTATTCTTCCACTCTACTCTGTGCTGGTTAAGCCTCAGTTGGAGTATTGTGTCCAGTTTGGGCACCACATCTTGAGAAAGATGTGGAGAAATTCGAGAAGGTCCAGAGAAGAGTAACAAAAAACTAGAAGACCTGACCTGTGAGGGGAGACTGAAAGAATTGGGTTTGTCTAATTTGGAAAAGAGAAGACTGAGAGGGGACATGATAGCAGGTTTCAAGTCACTAAAAGGGTCTTACAAAGAGGAGAGACAAAAATTGTTCTCCCTGGCCTCTGATGATATGAGAAGAAGCAGTGGACTTAAACTGCAGCAAGGGAGATTTAAGCTGCACAACAGGAAAAACTTCTAAATGTTTAGAGTGGTTAAACACTTGCATAGGGAGATTGTGGAATCTCCATTAGAGGTATTTAAGAGCAGGTTAGATAGACATCTATCATAGATGATCTTGATGGTACGTGGTCCTGCTATGAGGGCAGGAGAGTGACCTTGATTATCTCTTGAGGTCTTTTTCAGTTCTTGTGTTCTATGAGTCTATAGTTCTCCTGTGTGGATTGTAAGGATGTTAAATTTAGATTAATAAACTAATCAAATAGTTGATGCAATTTGCATCGACTATTAGTTTAGTTTCTAAGGCAGAGGTTCCCTTATCAACGTAGCAAGAGCTCTACCAGCTCTTGCTACATTTCAAAGGCGGAAGTGCTGCAGGGAGCACAGTGACAGCAGGGGACTGCTTGAATCCCCCGTTTGCTCCTGCTCCCCCGGCATTTCTGCTTTTGAAATGTACCAGGAGCCCTGCTCTTGCTACATTTCAAAGAGGGAAGCACCACCAGTTCCCCACTGCACCCCTGCCTCTATTTGTGTAAACGTGTATGTACGGAAATGTTCAGTGGATGCATGTTTAGTTGCGGGGGGGGGGGGGGGGGGAGAACAGGCTTCTAAGCTGGCTTTTAAGTCTGATAGAGGCAGAAAGGGGGAGAGTGACTAGTTGAATTGACTATCCAATAAACATATGCTTATTGGATAGCTGACTAGTCACCCACATTCCTAATCTGAACACAGATACAAGTCCCCCCCCCACCCCAGTCCGCATTCAAAGGATTTCTTTTGTGAGATTTTCCTATGTCTAACAAGATGTGAGGTCCTACTGCAGCCTTTCCCATAATAAGAGCAATCAAAGGATTTCTCTCCTGTGTGGATTCTACGATATTCAGTTAGGGCTGAGCTCTGACTTAAGCATTAGCCTGAGTCAGAGCAGATGAAGGGCTTCCAACTCAGTCTGGTTTCTCTCCTGACTTATAAAACTTGAGCGCCTACTGAAGTTTCCCCCACAGTTAGAGCAGCTGAAAGGTTTTTTTTCTGTGTGGATTCTCCTATGTTTAACCAAGTCTGACTTGTCCCTGAAGCTCTTCCCACAGTCACCACAGCTGAAGGGTTTCTCCCCTGTGTGGATTCTCCTATGCCTAACAAGGCTTGACCTCTGACTGAAGCTTTTCCCACAGTCAGAGCAGTTGAAAGGTCTCTCTCCTGTGTGGATTTTTCTATGTTTAATAAGATATGAGGAACTACTGAAGCTTTTCCCACAGTCAGAGCAGCTAAAGAATTTCTCCCCGGTTTGGACTCTCCAATGCCTAACAAGGTCTGACCTCTGACTGAAGCTTTTCCCACAGTCTGAGCAGGAGAAGGGTTTCTCTCCTGTGTGGATTCTCTGATGCCTAACAAGATGTGCGTTGCTATTGAAGCTTTTCCCACAGTGAGAGCAGTTGAAAGGCTTCTCTCCAGTGTGAATTCTCTGATGTTTAATCAGGGTTGAGTTCTGACTGAAGCTTCTCCCACAGTCAGAGCACCTGAAGGGTTTCACTCCCCTGTGGATTCTCCTGTGTGAGACAAGGTATGACCTCTTACTGAAGCTTTTCCCACAGTCAGAGCAGCTGTAGGGTTTCTCTCCTATGTGGATTCTATGATGTTCAATTAGGTCTGAGCTCTGACCTAAGCATTTTGCAGCATCAGAACAGCTGAAGGGTTTGTCTCCTATGCGGATTCTCCTATGTCTAACAAGTTCTGAATGCTCACTGAAGCTTTTCCTGCAGTCAGAGCAATTGAAAGATTTTTCTCTTGTGTGGCCTCTCTTATGTCTAATGAGATTTGAGTGCTGACTGAAGCTTTTCCCACACTCAGAGCAGCTGAAATGTTTCTCATCTGTGTGAGTTCTCTGATGTCTGTAAAGATGTGAGTTCCATCTGAAGCTTTTCCCACAGTCGGAGCAGTTGAAGGGTTTCACTCCTCTTTGGATTCCCCTGTGTGTACCAAGGTCTGAACTGTCACTCAAGCTTTTCCCAAGGTCAGAGCAGTTAAAATGTTTATCGTATGTGTGAGTTCTTTGATGTCTCAAAAGATGTGAGTTCCAACTGAAGCTTTTCCCACAGTCAGAGCAGTAAAAAGGTTTATCCCGTGTGTGGATTCTGCTGTGTCTTTCAAGTTCCGACCTCTCCCGGAACCTTTTCCCACAGTCAGAGCAGTTGAAGGGTTTCTCTCTGTGGATTCTATGATGCTCAATAAGAGTTGCACAGTCACTGCAAGTATAGGGGGCTTGTTGATGAGGGATTTTCTGTTGAATGGTTTCTGTGTTTCTTTCCAGCCTTCTGCTCCTGTGACTGGATTTACCCTGTCCCTTCTCTGGATGGTTTCTCTGCTCCCTTTCTGGCTTATGACTCTCCCAGGTCTCTCCGTGCTCAGGACTCTGAGAAACATGCCCTTCAGATCTTCCCAGTAACATCCCACGTGGAGCCACTTGCTCTGGTCCTTCCTGCTGGCGTCCCATCACCTGCTGGGACACAGAGAGAAATCAGATCTAAATCAGTCCTGAACTTAAAGGAAAACTCTGAAAGGGGAATAGAAAAGGGGGAACACACCCAAATAATGGCAGGAAAGTTTGAATATTCATGAGCCGAGTTCATCTTTCCCCATAACTGTTTCTCGAAGGGGAGAACCCAGCCGTTCCCCTCCCCCACCCTCTGACTGGAGCTGAAGACAGGCTGAAGGGGCAGTTAGACTTGATGAAAATGCAAAGTAACACCTGCTATGAAGACACAAAAATTGGTTTCTGAGTCAGTTTAGCGGATTGCTCACCTATGTGAGTGTCACTGATGATTTCCCTTTCCACACAACCTTGGAGATCTGGGATCTGCAGCTTGTCTGCTTGCTCCACCCAGGAGATCACATGAGCTTTGGAAACTGGAAATCCTGCTCAGGGAGTAATAAACCAAATGTTGACCTTGTTCATTAAGGTCTCTGCCATTACTATTTCCAGACCAAGGATCTGAGTTGCCCACCCAGAGAGGCACCTTCCCCACCTTGCAGAGACTGGGCTCTGGCTGGTACAAGGTTCCAGGACACACTCACCTGCAGTAAAGGTGCATCTCTCCTGCCTTGGGAATGGCCCAACTCTGCTGCACTCTCTAGCGTTCAACTAAGTCTCCCTCATGGTGCATTCCAACCCCCCACCATCCCAGGGCAGGACAGGAACACACTGCTCAGGAGGTGAGCTCTAGCGAGGGCTGCAAAGTTTGACACTGGGGCTCACAGGCAGGGCTCGGGCTGCAGTTGCCATATGGCAGGTCACTAGAACTTGGAGAAAAAGAACTCAGCAAGGCTCTAGTTCCGCAAGGGCTCTGTCCACAAACCTCCTAACCAGGGGGCTCAGCTCACCCTGCTCTTTGGCTCAGATCATAATCATAGAACCAAAGAACCAAAGAGCTGGAAGAGACCTTAGAAGGCCATCAAGTCCAGCCCCCTGCCCAAGGGAGGACCAATCCCAATTAAATCAACCTAGCCAGGGCTTTGTCAAGCCAAGACCTAAAAACCTCTAGGGATGGAGATTCCACCCCCTCCCTAGGTAACCCATTCCAGTGCTTTCCCCACCCTCCTAGTGAAATAGTTTTTCCTAATATCTAACCTAGACCTCCCCACTGTAACTTGATCTCCCCCACTGTATGCATGCCCATCAGTGTGAAAGAAGCTATTTATTTTCATATATATCTGCATGTACATGCAATCACACTTAAGTTGTGACCCTCGGCATGTGCTGTGAGTATCATTGTGGCTCCTGGGGCTTCCAAAGTTGAGTAGCTCTGGTTTAGACTATTAGCCATTCCAAAGACCTGGGGATATGTCCAGCACCTTTTTCCCCTTCCCACTGCATCAGCCTCCTAACAAGGAGAGTACACACTACATCCTGTAAAATATTTCAGTGAAATTCTACCATTGCAAGGAACTTCCAATAGGCACTGTGCTGCCCTGAGTGTCAATATCACCACACAGGAGGCAGAGGAAGTTGCCTGAGCAGGAAAGTGAATCCTTGGTTCACACTCCTGCCTATGCTCCACACTCCCGACCCTGACTGCCTGTCCCTGCCAGCTGACCACAAGAGCTGCTGCTTGTGAGCTACTGCCCACAAGATCTGGCCATTGTAGCATTTGGCTGTGCAGCTTTTCTGGTGTGTGTGGCTGTTGCTGCAGCCGACCTTTCCCTCTGCTGCTTCAGTTCTCCTCCGCAGCCTCTTTGTGTGGATTCCCCACCTTCCTCTTGCAGCCAGCCTGGCCTGCCATTTGTTGCCCTCATTGGCTACACAGAATCTACCATTCATACTCTCCCATCTGGTGGGCGCATTCCTCACATCTTCAGCCAGACCCCATCTTGGACCAACATCTAGTGTTGGGCCATGGAAATCTCATCCTCACCCAACGGACTTTCCCAGGGACTTTTCAGCCAGACGGTGGCTAACGCCTGCCATGGCTCATTCGAGCAGGCCAGGGCATGTGACCAGTGCATGTGACACTAGACTCCATCTGGGCCCTGTGCTTTCAGCTTGCAGTGCTGGGGATTCTGCTTGGAAAAATGAGCTCCCCTCCACCTGTGCGGCCATGTGGGAGAGATTCACATGTTGCCCAGAGCATCAGCAGAGCACACACAGCTGGCAGCATGTACTTAGGTGCCCCTCCCGCACCTTGCGCCATCCTGCCACTGCTCCTGGGAGGGATCCTCCTACTAGCTGTGTAGAGTGAATGAGGGGGAATGCTGAAGTCTAGGTGTCCCCCTCTCCCTGTTCCTCAACTCTACAGAGCAAGGCAGAGGGGCCACAGCCTGGCTCAGGAGTTCTGAACGGTGACGGACGGCCTTTCTGACACTGGCAGTGCTCTGCTTGTGAGATTTCCCTAGCAGACAGCTCACAAGGCCTGTCTCCCTCTCACCGCAACACACTGTGGCTATGTCTACACTGCAGGCTTCTTGTGCAATAACTGCTGTGCACAAGAGTTCTTGCGCAAAAGGTCTTGAGCAAGAACATATCCACACTGCCGTGTGCTTTTACGCATGAGCGTCCATGGCAGTGTGGACGCTCTCTTCCATGGCCATTTTAGCCATAGGGGCTTCTTGTGCAAGAAACCTCTGTTGCCCATCCACACCGCCTTCTTGTGCAAGAGCTCTTGCACAACAAGGCTTATTCCTCGTGGGGAGAGGAATAACTCTTGCGCAAGAAGCCCTCTGTTCCAACACCTTCCTGTAAATTTACTTGCGCAAGAACACACGTGCAGTGTAGACCCTGCAGGTTTTTGCACAAGAACGGCCGTGCTTGCGCAAGAAGCCCTCTGTTCCAACACCTTCCTGTAAATTTACTTGTGCAAGAACGTACGTGCAGTGTAGACACTGCAGGTTTTTGCACAAGAACAGCCGTGCTTGCGCAAGAAGCCTGCAGTGTAGACATAGCTTGTGTGTCACATGCATTGTCCCCTTTTCTCTGCTCATGTACCCCATCTGTGCTGGGAGGCAAGGTAACAAGGCTCAGGGACAGAGCAAGGCAACTTTAAGGTGCCTATAAGGAGCTCAGTATCTCCCCTAATTAATATATTTATCCTTCCCCAGCCCTGTGACACAGAAACATACTGTAACAGCTATTGCAGAGATAGAGGACAGGACACAGACAGTCTAAGTGACTTGACCAAGGTCACGCAGGAAGTCTGTGCACATTGAGACATTGGGTGTGGGACGAGCAACACCCGTTATGTACCTCAAGCTGCGTTCCTTGGGAGGGGGTGTTGAGGGGACAATCTCTCAGCAGTGTTCCCTCTACGATTTTCCAACCATGGGCAGAGGGAGTTTTGGTTTGTGCACCAATATTGAGGTCACATGCGCTGATCTGGAGGTGTGCCACCAGGGCACCCCCTTTATTAACACGCAGAAGCTCCCCGCTCCCTTCATGCATCAGGCCCTGTTCCCGGCCACCAGAGCAAACACAACCCAATCCATCCATTCCCAGCCCCAGTCTCCAGAACAGGTCCCAGCCCCATGGCAGCCCTGGCTACCTTAGCAGAGCCCTCATCATACCGTCTCAATTAGCCCTACCCATCAGCGTAGCTGCCTGCTACAAGAGGGCTCTCCAGAGGAGGTGGGGTGAGGGGAAAAGGTTTGTGTGTGGCTGTGCAGGTGCACGCCTTAGCAGGAACCATGCTTCTCACACAGGAGCCAGGATTACTGGGGTGGATTCTCCTGACATAGGAGGGCATGGGGCATGGAGGAACCCTGAACCAAATCCAACCCAGCAGCTCCAGAGTTCACCCACCTCTGATACCCAAGAGAACAGGAATCCTTACCCAGCCAGCTCACAGCCTCATAATTCTCCTGCATCACATCCCAGTAGAGGGCTCTCTGACCTGGGTCCAGCAGAGCCCATTCCTCCTCAGAGAAATACACAGCCACCTCCTCAAAGCTCACCGGCTCTGCCACAGCCACTTCCTTACCCTGGCTCTGCTGGCCATGGGCTGAGCTGGGACAAGACATGGGTGTTCTGCAGCCTGTTAGGGGGAGAAGAACAATTGGAGACATGTCAGAAGGGGCTTTAATCCTTTCCACCACCCATTCTCTCCAGACTCTCTCCCTGGTGATACACATGTTGGACTTTGCCATTTTGGGCAAATGCTTGAGTCTCAATATTCCATAAACAGCACACACAAGTTAGAGCCTAAATGTATATTCATTTCTCTCAGTACCTGACCTGAGTTTCAATATTACCTCTGCTTGCAACTGCATCAGAGTGTCCAGTGTTTCTGATGAACAAGCCCTTTGTTCTGCTGCCCAAATATGGGTGGAGTGTCTTAAAATTTTGGCTCCTGTGGTTAAAGCCCCTAGTCTTCCTCCATTTATTATACAGCACAGTCCTAGTCCCTCTCATCAGGACTAAATTGACAAAATTTAAAAAACCTCTCCACAACAGATACTAAGTGAAGTTAATACCATTGTTCAGATGCTGATTATTAAACATGAGTGGTGAACGTTTGCAGGATGAGATCCGAAAGTAACTGAAGGGATCATTAGTCACGTAGTCTGACCTCCTCTGTGGCAGAAGCCACTCCTTATAACCCAGCTACCCAGGCACAAAGCTCTATTTCCCAAAAGCATATTTTCTAGAAGTTCACCCAGTGCTGATTTGAAGACATCAAGCGATGGAGAATCCACCACTTCTTTTGTGCCTGCTTTTTTGTGCCGGCTTTCTAGACTGAAATTGTCTGGCTTCAGCTTTGGTTCTCACTGAGTTGTATCAACTAGACTCAAGAGCCCTCGGGGATCCAGCAGTTTTTTTTCCATGAACAGACTGTTACATAGGGTGAAAGGCAGAGAGGTGACTGGCTGCCAATTTCGTGTTTTAATCCAGTGTCTCAACCTTTTTTTTTTTAAATAAAGAGCCCCTTTAAAAAAAAATTATAAGTACCCCCAGTACCTACAGTTTTCAGATACACACATTTGTTTAAACAACTTAATCATAGCTGTCCGGGCGATGAAACTTTTGGGTTTAGAAGCACAAAAAAAATCAAAGCACTGTAAAACTTAAAACAAAAATTCAGTTCTCTCCAAATTTCAGTTGTGTTGACATATCCGTGACTTCTCTTGAGTATCCCTAAAGGTACCCGTACCACTGGTTGCGAAACACTGTTTTAAACCAACCCATACTGAAACTGACTGGCGGAGCAGTGAAATCTGAGATTGAAGGCGCTGTAGGTCAGGTGCTTTAATTTCACACCTTTAGCATCATAACCCCGGAGACAACCCCTTAATGCTGCTTGTCCATAACATCCACATAAGCAGGGAAGTGCCAACATTCAGATGCAAAGACCTGTCACAGGAAAGCAACAGCTTTAGCCCCACAATCCGCATCAGAGCTCTTAAGATGGTAATAATAATATTTCACTGTGCATCTCAGTCAGTGTTAGTCTGTAAACTCATTGCTCAGCGAATGGGTGTTTTACAGACATGGATGAACATGTATTAGCTGTTCCCCTGCAGAAACACAGGAGCAGATCCACCTCTGGTGAGGTCAGCACCATGCTCCAGACTAGGGTGGGAAATAATTTTCACAAGGGGGCCACGTAATGAATATTAGTATGTGGTCATGGGGTGGTTCCCTTCTGCCCAGATTCTTCCAGGGGCTCAGCACACTGACACAAGTGGTATCCTGCAGGCACTAACAGCAGTTAGACCCAGAACTCTGGTACCTGCTGTTCCTGCCTCAGCCCCTTCCACTGACACCTCCAGCTAAGGCACAAACATGGGTGAAATGGTGGGGAAGTACATTGAGACCTTAGGTGTGGGAAGAGCAGCACCATTGTTATGTCCCTCCACCTGCTTCCTGTGGGAGGGGGCTTGGAGGGGACAGTCTCTCACCAGTGTTCCCTCTAAGATTTTTCCAAACATGAGCAGAGTGAGTTTTGGCTTGTGCACCAATATTGAGGTCACATGTGCTGGTTTGGATGTGTGCCACCATGGCACCCAATTTATTAACACACACACACACACACACACACACACACACACACACACACCCCCAGCTGCTGGAGCAGAAATTCTCCTTCTCCCATCATGCCACATTTCCAGCCCACCTACCACGTAGCAGCCCCGGCCACCATAACAGGACTCATTCCCACTGCAACACGGCCGAGCCAGGTCCCAGTTCCCTGCCCCAGCAGCACCCTCACCACCCCGTCTCAGCAGACCCTACCCACTGGAGCAGCCACCTGCTTAGCAAGTGCTGCTGTGCAGCTCTGCAAAGGAGGTGAGCAGAAGAAGAAATTTTTGTATGCAGCTGCACAGGCACGCACCTTAGCAGGAACTACGCATCTCACACACAGGCCAGGATTATTGGAGCTGATATTCCTGACATTGGAGGGCAGGGGGCAAGGAGGGACACTGAACTGAACCCAACCCACATGCTCTGGAGCCCACCTACCCTCTGATATCCATGGGAACAGGAATCCTTACCCAGCCAGCTCACAGCCTCATAATTCTCCTGCATCACATCCCAGTAGAGGGCTCTCTGACTCGGGTCCAGCAGGGCCCATTCCTCCTCAGAGAAATACACAACCACTTCCTTTAAGTTCACCGGCTCCACCACAACCATTTCCTTTCCCTGGCTTTCCAGGCCGTGGGCTGAGCTGGAGCAAGACATGGGTGTTCTGCAGGCTGTTGAGGGGAGAAAAAACAATTGGAGACATGTCAGAAGGGGCTTTAATCCTTTCCCCCATTTTCCCCAGATTCTCTCCCTGGTGACACACATGCTAGACTCGGCCATTTTGGGCAAATGCTTGAGTCTCGATATTCCATAAACAGCACACACAAGTTAGAGCCTAAATCTATATTCATTTCTCTCTATACCTGGCCTGAGTTTCAATATTACTGTGCCTGCAACTGCATCAGAGTGTCCAGTATTTCCGATAAACAAGCTACTTGTTCGGCTGCCCAAACATGGATGGAGTGTCTTAAATTCAGTCTCCTGTGGTTAAAGCCCCTCGTCTTCCTTCATTTATTTTATAGCACAGTCCTAGACTAAATTGGATTAAATTGACAGAGAATTTCTAAAACTTCTCCACAACAGACACTAGGGCTATGTCTACATTGTGCTCTCTTGTGCAAGGACATATGTAAATGAGGCGAAGCGGTGAATATCGCTGTGCCTCATTTGCATACTTAATGAGTTGCCATTTTTGCACAAGGGGCTTTTGCACAAGGAGCAGTTTAGACTGATTCTTCTTATGCAAAAATAGCAACTCATTAAGTATGCAAATGAGGCACAGCAATAGTCATCACCATGCCTCATTTGCATATGTTCTTGCGCAAGAGACCGCAATGTAGATGTAGCTTAAGTGAAGTTAGTATCACTGTTCAGATGCTGATTATTAAACGTGTGGTGAATGTTTGCAGGATGAGATCCGAAAATTCACAGATTGACAGTATCTGAAGGGATCATTAGTCATGTAGTCTGATCTCCTCTGTGGCAGAAGCCACTCCCTATAACCTAGTTACCCAGTCACAAAGCTCTATTTCCCCAAAGCATAGGTCGCCTAGTGTTGATTTGAAGACCAAGTTTTTCCGCAAAAGCATGTGCTTTTACGGAAAAATTTGCCAGCTGTCTGCACTGGCTGCTTGAATTTCCGCAAAAGCACTGATGATCTCATGTGAGATTGTCAGTGTTTTTGCGGAAATACTATGCTGCTCCCGTTTGGGCAAAAGTCCTTTTGCGCAAATGTTTTGCGCAAAAGGGCCAGTGTAGACAGCCCAGATTTGTTTTCCGAAAAAAAGCCCCGATCGCGAAAATGGCAATCGGGGCTTTTTTGCGGAAAAGAGCGTTTAGATTGGCACGGACGCTTTTCCGCAAAAAGTGCTTTTGCAGAAAAGCGTCCGTGCCAATCTAGACGCTCTGTTCTGAAAATGCTTTTAACGGAAAACTTTTCTGTTAAAAGCATTTCCGGAAAATCATGCCAGTCTAATCGTAGCCATGGAAAATCCACCAATTCCTTTGGCCATTTGTTTAGTGGCTGACCATCTTCCCTATCAAATGTTTGTGACTTCTGTCTAGCCTGAAATTGTCTGGCTTCAGCTTTCACTTCTTGGTTCTCACTGAGTCATGTCCACTAGCCCAAACATCCCTTGGAGATCCAGCAATTTCTTTCCATGAACAGATTGATACAGCGGAAGCCAGTCTGCGCCCAGTCTTTCAGCCTAATTATGGTTTTAAACCAACGCCATACTGAACCTGAACTAACTAAAACAGTAAAATCTCGGAGATTGAAGGTACTGTACATTGTGTGCTTTAACTTCACATCTTCAGCATCATAACCTGGAGACAATTCCTCAGTGCTGCTTCTCAGTAAAATCCACACAAGCAGGGAGCTGCCAACATTCAGATGCAAATATCTGTCATGGGATACCAACAGCTTTAGTGCCACAATCCGCATCAGAGCTCTTAAAATAGTAATAATGTTTCATTGTGCAGCTCAGCATTATAGTCTGTGAACTCATTGCTCAGTGAATATGTGTTGTATAGACATGGATGAACATGCAGTAGCTGTTCCGCTGCAGAAACATGGGGGGGGAAGACACCTCTGGTGAGGTCAGCACCATGCCCCAGACAAGGGGTGGGCAATAATTTTCACCGGGGGGGGAGGGGCACAATGAATTTTGGTACATGGTCATGGGCGGTTCCACGCCTGGAAGGGAAGGGACCTTGGGCAGAAGGCTTGGGGCTGTGAACTAGCTTCTCCCCAGAGTCATATGGGCCACAGGCTTTGAATTAAAAACACAGCAAAGGGTTCACAGCTCCTGAATCTGCTGCTACGATGTCACCTGGCCACCACCAGGGACTGCTGTGGCTATTAAAATGGCTCCAGCCTCTGCCAAGGTAGTGCCATGACTGTGAGCCATTTAAACAGCATTCTGCTGCCCGAGGCGCACCCCTTGGAAATTCAGTGGCAGGGGGCAGCAGGATATAAACAGGAAGCAGCCAGATGCAGTCCATAAGCTGGATTAAAGTACTAGGTGGGCTGGTTCCGGCCCTGGAGTCACATCTTGCCCAGCCCTGTCCCAGACCAGACCCTTGCAAAAAAAAAAAATCATTTTAAAAACCCTGGATTTTGGCACTACAGAACAGTAGGATTGTCAGAGTGAAGAGCTCCATTAGAATGTATTGTAACAACAGATGTAGCACACAGAGAAACTGTGACACTGAAACATGTACTCAGAAGTACAAGTAAAACACCTAATATTTATATATGCAATAAAGTAATAGAAAAATCAAGTATGTACCTCAGTTTTTTCAGGATGGGGAATTACCTACAGAAATGAGGATTTTGTGATAAGTTTGCAAGTACCAAATTATTTTCAACAGTATCTTGGTGCGGTCACATTTAATAATCTGCCCGATAGTGACTATTCAGGAAGCAAAACGTAGCCAAGTGGCTGGCAACGTGAAAAAGCACTAGTGCTTAGGGCGACTGTAGTTCCCTTTGCTGAACACCGGACACCTGGGCTATGTCTACACTGACGGGTTCTTCTGCAAGAACATCTTGTGCAAGGGTTCTTGTGCAAGAATACATCCACACTACCATGTGCTTTTGCGCAAGAGCATCCATGGCAGTGTGGACGCTCTCTTGCGCAAGAAAGCTCTGCTGGCCATTTTAGCCTGAGGGCTTTCTTTCGCAAGAAACCCCTGCTACGCGTCCACACTTCCGTCTTGTGCAAGAGGGCTTACACTTAGGCTGTGTCTACACTGGTGGCATCTTGCGCAAAAGCAACTGCTCTTGCGCAAAAACTTGCTGCCGGTCTACACTGGCCGCATGTTCTTGTGTGAGTAAACTGACGTAGTAATGTATGAAGTCAGGGCTTCTTGTGCTAGAACTGATGCTCCCGCTCAGGAAAAAGCCCTTTTGCGCAACTGTTCTTGCGCAAGAGGCCAGTGCAGACAGGCAACATGAATTTCTTGCGCGAGAAAGCCCTATGGTTAAAATGGCCATCAGCTCTCTTGCGCAAGAGAGCGTCTACCCTGGCAAGGATGCTCTTGCGCAAAAGCACATGCCAGTGTAGACGCTTTCTTGCGCAACTACTTTAACACAAGAACTCTTGCGCTAAAGAGTTTTTGCGCAAGATCATGCCAGTGTAGACGTAGCCTTGTTAGAAAGGAGTGTAGCTCTTGCGCAAGAAGCCCTGTCTTCCGACGCCGTGCTGTAAAACTTCTAGCGCAAGAGCAGGCGGGCCATATGGATGCTCTGCGGGGTCTTGCGCAAGACCCCGCCAGTGTAAACCGTATCTCGAGTGAAATGATCCATAGTCAAGGAGCTCAAGGAGAATCCATAAGCCCTGAGCAGCACAAAGGTCCACATTAGCATCAAATCCCTGGGAAACGTAAGCACGGTGCAGCTGGCGCCGTCCGCTGTGTCTACACTGGCCACTTATTCCGGAAAATCAGCTGCTTTTCTGGAATAACTTGCCAGCTGTCTACACTGGCCCCTTGAATTTCCGGAAAAGCACTGACGATCTAATGTAAAATCATCAGTGCTTTTCTGGAAAAACTATGCTACTCCTGTTCGGGCAAAAGTCCTTTTCTGGAAAACTGTTCCGGAAAAGGGCCAGTGTAGACAGCAGAGATTTCTTTTCCACCAAAAAGCCCCAATCGCGAAAATGACGATCGGGGCTTTTTGGCAGAAAAGCGCGTCTAGATTGGCCACGGACGCTTTTCCAGAAAAAAGTGCTTTTCCGGAAAAGCATCTGTGTCAATCTAGACGCGCTTTTTTCGAAAATGCTTTTAACGGAAAACTTTTCCGTTATAAGCATTTCCGGAAAATCAT